AGGGAGCACCAGCAGGGCGACCGCTGCCCCGGGGCTGCAAAGCCCTCCCTCTTCCCCGGGTACCAAGCCGAAGCTGATGCCGGCTGCCAAGTCCAGGCTTCAGCATCCCAGCCGGGCTTTGCAGCTGGCACAACTGTCCGCCGTTCCCAAACCCACCTCCCGGGACACAGAGATGGAAAGTAATTCTGCACCTGCCAGTTGCTCACGCAAAGCGGGGAAGTTTGGGGGGACTGATGCTGCAGCTAGAAGGGAGAAGGGGGAAGGCCTGGGCTGCAGCATGGGACAGGGACAGAGCGTGGGGAGTGGGGAATCCCTGGAAGTGGCGCAGGTAGGAGCCCAGGAAATGCGCTCATGTCCCAAGCGCTGTATTAATAAGCACTATCTGGCCTCCCACCGATGTGGGCTAGCAGCCTGTTGCCTTGGAGCCCTCACCCCGTGGTCTGGTGGGGTTGCGGGGCTGCAGGTGCCTGTGGGCCTGCGACGGGCACCCTGGCTGAGCCCTGGGCTGCCCCAAGAGGGGTGCGGTGTAGCTGCTTTGGAGTGGCAGCCTCTGTGCCTAATGTTTGTCCACTATAGCTGCTGTCAAGGTTGGGGGTCGCAGACAGCCCTCCCGGAGGCTCTCTACAGCAATTCCTACTGTGGCTTCTCGCTCCCGACTGCGGCCGCTGGGAAAAGTGGCTTCCCCCAGGCGCTTTTGCCTCGGTAAGGGTGAATCTGGGCAGAAGCCCTGGAAGCTCTGGTGTCGGGGCGGGGGGAGCTGCTGCCCTGGGGAGAACATTCACGTCCCTGCTGCAGAGTCAAGGCTGATCCCAGGGAAAGGACAGGAGCGGGCAGCGTGTGCTCGGGCTCAGAGGAGGGGAAGTGAAACGCGGAGCAGTAAGGCTAGTTGAAGTCCCTTTCCCTGGAGAGGCACCCAGCAAGGAGCCTGGACAAATCTGGTGCTCCAGCTCATCCATAGGACAGGGAGTGGCCCCAGTCAGTGCATGTTGCTACCAGGGCACTCTCTGAGCAGGGGTTGATGCTCTTCGCTTTCGTTTCCTGGGCCCTATTCAGGATTGACTATGCAGGAGCTGATGTGCAATACGACCCGAGAGCTGAAGGAAAACAGTAAGAGCGAAGAATGGCTGGTTGCAGCAGGGACTGTCTTGGGAGCAGGTGAGCAGTAGGAGGTGTGGTCCCTCGCAGGAGTGGGGAGCTGGAGCTTGCTCCCCCCTAGAGAGGAGCCCCTCTGGAGCTTTCCTGGCTCCTGACTGCCAAAGACCTGCTGAAAACCAAGTGTCCTGTGAGTGTACCATGGTGAGGAGAGTCTACATTTCTGTGCTGGGCTCTGGTGGATTCTCGCCTTGTGTCAGGGTGAGCATGCGGAAACATGGGCAGCTGCCTAGGGCAGCTGGCAGCTGCTTGTTTGGCAGTGCCACTCCCCAGCAGGGTCCTCGCTGAACAGGCACACCTCGGGGGGCACCAGCCTGCTCTGCAGGCAGGGTGCGCTGCCTTCCCCAAGGACTGCAGCTGGGCAGCCTGCAGTCCTGGGCCCTGCAGAGGAAGAGGAAGTGAGGAGGCCACCCCTACTCTGTTGGGTCAGCCCTGCCCTGCCTAGGGCAGCTCTCTGCCCTCCCTGTGCGAACAGACTCTGTGCAGGAGCCCAGAGCTGCTGGGAGCTAGGCTGTGCAGGAGCACTTCCTCCCAGCAGCACCCGTACAGGCCAGGCCAGCAGCAGCCGTTGGGCTGGGGGGGGCTTGAAGACCTCTGGCTCCCTTGGACAGGTTCTGCCCCTGGTCCGGAGTAGCTCTGCGGCCTGGTTGAAGAGGGGCCGGGGATGGCAGTTACGTTTCTAGTGGCAACAGCTCTCTTCACAGGTAAGGCCAACCAGACATGGGTGTGTGGGGGGTCCTCTTTTTCCAGCGAGTTGGCCCCTGGCCGGACTCCAGGGCGTGGGGATGCAGTCCCTGCTGAGCGGGTAAGAGCCAGCTGTGTCCTGGCACCACGGAGCACCATGCTCCTCCACAGGAAGGGCTGTGCTGGGGCTGGGCTGTGGGTCACTGCATGGGGGTGACCACCCCCTGTATCGCACTTACACCCTGCCTTTGCCAGTCTGCAGGTGATCAGCTGTCCCAGGAGCTGAAGTGTGTAAAGAACGAGCTGGAGCGAGTGAAGGGCGAGCTTGGTACATGGGGCTGGCTGTTTGGGGGCTGCGGGACACCCACAATCCAGGTGGCACCCCCTGCACTTGTACCTGGAGCCCAGGGCCTGCAGCTCTGTGGGGATGGGGCTGGCTTCTTGTTCGGGGGTAAAGCAGGACCCACTCTGCTGCCCCAGAGGGTCTGGGGGTGAGGTGTTCAGGGCTGGCTGAGCACACACCTACTTGCCTCCTGCCTGCAGCTGACAAGACTGCCCAGTGTGAAGCCTATCGCCAGACGATCTCCTCCTTGCAGGCTCAGCTCAGAGCAGCAGGTATGTTCCCTCGCTGGGGTGAGCCCTCGTCCCTGGGCAGGCTGCAGGGATGCTCCGGTGATCCCTTGTCGGTGTAACTGGGGGCTGCCAGGTGGAAGGGACACAGCTCGTGGCCTTCCCTGTGGAGCAGGTGCTGAGTGCCGGGAGCAGCAGTACTTTGATGCCGTTGCTCCCCAGGAATTTCTCTGGAAGATGCAGCAGTGGAGGAGAGTAGTGACTCGGGGAGAGACTGACAGCTGGCATGTGGGGACAGACTCGCAACTGGGCCAGCGATATTTGTGGAGCTCTTGAATGAGTGAATTTTTTAACTCCTTGTATTTGAAATAAAGGCATCTTTTCCCAGTGATGCTTGCTGTCTGCTGGGGTAGGGCCAGTGCCCACTGCTGCCCGCTGTTCTCCAAAGGGCTGGGCAGAAAGGGCAGGTCTGCGTCCGGCTGTGTCTGGTTCTGCTCAGCCAGAGGCTTGAGGTCTGCTGCATGGAGGAGGTGGGTGCTGGTGGATGGAGGCACAGCATGGCTTTCTGGACAAACCTGGTGCTTCCAGGCAGGATGCTTGGATGTGTGGTGGTGGCAGGCAGCCGTATGGGCAAGTTTCTGCCTTAAACTACCTTCACACGGGACATGGGAAGAGCCAGTGCTGGCTGATGGCACGTTGGGCTTCTGCAGCCGTTAGCTGCTATTTACCATTTTATTAGCTGGTGACTTGTGTCAGTGTCTGGGGGCAGGTGGTGGGGAAGCAGCACTTGGACTCAGTCCCTCACTGTTCCTGCCTGCCAGCGCTGGAAGCCCTGCCCTGTTGCCGTCTCTCTGTGGTAGGTTGACGCAGGCACCTCGTTGCGCTGCCTCACGTCTGGGTGAGGCCCTGGAGAGTCCTGCTGTCTGGTGCTGGCAGTGCCCCAAGGCTGGGCTGGGAAGGCTGGCCAGCTCCCACTCCCCTGTTATCTCCGGCTGGTGCTCCTGGCTGCCCCGGAGTGCTGCAGGCAGCCTGCACCCCTTCCTGGGGTGGCTGCCCTTGACCGTGTGGAGGGGTGGCAGCACAAGGATGCTCCGTCCGCTATCTCCCACCCCTGCTCAGCACTCAGTCGCCGAGGCGAGCGGCTCCGGTGCTGGCACAATCTGCAGCGGAGCGCTCTAGTGCAGTGTACAGGGGGGGTTCCCTGTACGTGTGTGTGGAAGATAACTTCTTGGTGCAGGTACTAAGGGAGCTGACTAGGAAAGATGCCCTGCTAGATTTGTTGTTTGTAAACAGAGAGGGACTCATGGGCGAAGTGGTAATTGGTGGCTGTCTTGGTCACAGTGACCACGAAGTAGCTGAGTTTCAAATCGTTGGTGATAGGAGAAAAACTGCCAGCAAAACTTCATCCCTGGGTATGGGGAGAGCAGATTTCAGGCTGCTTGAAGGAGCTAGTTAGTAAGGTCCCCTGGGAATCCGCTTTTGAAGGTATTGGGGTCCATGCTGGCCACTTTTTAAGAGCCATCTCTTAAGAGCGCAGGAGCAGGCAATTCCAAAGTGTCGGAAGACAAGCAAGCAGGACAGAAGACCAGCTTGGCTGGGCAGGGATCTTCTTCTAGAACTTAGGTGGGAAAGGAAAGTGTATGGACATTGGAAGCACAAACAGGTGACACGGGAGGACTACAGAGATGCTGTCTGCCACTGTAAGGAGAAAACTAGTGTGGCCAAAGCTCGATTAGAGTTCAAGCTGGCCAGCACTCTGAAGAACAACAAAAAGGGGTTTTCAAAATACGTTAATAGCAAAAGGAGAATCAGAGGTAACGTTGGTCCATTGCTTGACAAGGTCAGTCACCTCACAAATAGGGACGTAGATAAAGCAGAGACATTTAATGCCTTCTTTGCCTCTGTCTTCAACACCAGTGCTGGGCCCTGGGACCCCTGGAGCCCTGTGTTGGAAGACTGTGACTGGGAGGATGATAAACTCCCAGCCAACCCTGAACTTGTTTGAGACCTGCTGCTTCAGTTGGATGCGCATAAGTCTATGGGGCCCGATGGGATTCATCCCAGGGTACTGAAAGAGCTGGCCGATGTCATTGTGGGACCTCTCTCCATTATTTCTCAATGGTCCTGGGAGTATGGAGAGGTCCCAGTCAGCTGGAAGCTGGCAAATGTTGTCCCAATTTTCAAGAAGGATAAGAAGGAAGACCCTGGTAATTACAGGCCCGTCAGTCTCACTTCAATGCCTGGTAAAATTATGGATAAGATTATTCTGGCAGTTATTGAAGAACACTTGAGAGACAACGCAGTCATTGGTCGTAGCCAGCACAGGTTCACAAGGGGAAAGTCCTGATTAACAAACTTAATTTCCTTTTATGACAAGGTGACCCGTCTAGTTGTCCAAGGGAAGCCAGTAGATGTCGTAGTTTTGGATTTTAGCAAAGCTTTTGATACTGTCTCTCACAGTATCCTTCTGGATAAACAGTCCAGCACACAGACAGACAAGTCCATAATACATTGG